TTTTTTTTTTTTCTGCCACGCCGCTCAGCATGCAGAATCTTAGTCTCCCAAATAGGGATCAAACCCGCACCCCCTGCAGTGGAAGCACAGAGTCTTAACCAATGGACCACCAGGGAAGTCCCCAAAGTGCATCCATTTAAACATTAATTTCTTTTAGAAACACCCTCACAGAAACACCCAGAATAACGTTTGACCAAATATCTGGGCACAGGGACTTAGAACTAGGTAGAGGCGATGGTTGCACAACTTTGGGAATGTAACGAATGCCACTGAATTGTTCACTTAAAAATGGTTGATGGTTGGGACTTCCCTGGTGGTCCAGTGGTAAAGAATCCACCTTCCAATGCAGGGGATGTGGGTTTGATCCCTGGGCGGGGAACTAAGATCCCACATGCCACGGGGCAACTAAGCCTGCATACCACAACTACCGAGCCCACATGCCTCAACTAGAGTGCCCGCCTGTCACAAACTACAGAGCCCACGCTCTCTGGAGCCTGCCGGCCACAACTAGAGAGAGAAAACCTGCATGCCACAACTAGAGAGAAGCCCACGTGCCACAAGGAAAGATCCCACGTGCCACAACTAAGACCCAACACAGCCAAAAATAAAGTAAAAAAAAATTTTTTTTAATGTATGACTTAAAAAAAAATGGTTGATAGTTAATTGTATGTTATGTGAATTTTACCTCAGTTAAATACAGTTGTCCCTCAATATCTAAGAGAAAATCGTTCCAGGACCTGCTGCCGGTACCAAAATTCAAGGATGCTCAAGTCCCTTATTTAAATGGCATAGTATTTGCACATAACCTACACGTATCCTCTCCTATACTTTAAATAATCCCTAGATTACTTATATTACCTGACACAAGGTGAATGCTACGCAGATAATAGTAGCCTGCCTCGGCAAATTCAAGTTTTGCTTTTTGGAACTCTGGAATTTTTTTCCCCAAGCATTTTAGATCCCCACTTGGTTGTAAATAAATACCTTAGTAAACATTCTGAAGGCTAAAGAAAATGTGCCTGTAGGTCTTATCCAGCCTTCTGGCCATGAGTTTGAATCCTTTTCTTTGGGCTTTAAAAAAAAAACAAAAAAAGACAATTACACAGAAAAGTACATACAATAGGATTCCATTTACATGAAGTTCAAACCTAAGCAAAATGAAACAAGCTTTTTTTAAAAAGGACAGAATTTTAGTTTGTAAAACTATGAAGAAGAGATAAGGAATGATTTAGTCAAAATTCAGGGTGTGGCTGTTTATCTGTGAGAGTTGTGCCTTAAGGTGGGGATATTAGTAAGGAAATACCAGCAGTTTCCAAGATACTAGTTCTTTTCCTTAGCCTGGGTTCTGAGATTAGTGGGTGTTTTTAATTTTAATTCTTTCAATGGGATGTTGAGTGTGCATTTAAGAGACTCAAACTCGGACTATTCATACAGTTGTATCCATAAGTCAGCACATACATGGTGCACTTCACATTTAAAAATAAATGTTTGCGGAATAAAAAACCCTACACATTTGGATGTCGGGTGAAATGTTAGCAATAGGTGAATCTGAATAGAGTATGTGGGTCTCCTATACGCTATTCTGGTTCTTGCAACTTCTCTGTAAGTCTGAGATTATGTTCAAAAAAGTAAATGTAAACAACAAGGACAGAAAAGGTGGTAGATTTCAAGAAGCTTCTATTTCCCGTCACTTCAGAAAATATGAGGTGGGGGCTTCCCTGGTGGCGCAGTGGTTGAGAGTCTGCCTGCCGATGCAGGGGACGCGGGTTCGCGCCCCGGTCCGGGAAGATCCCACATGCCGCAGAGCGTCTGGGCCCGTGAGCCATGGCCGCTGAGCCTGCGCGTCCGGAGCCTGTGCTCCGCAGCAGGAGAGGCCACAACAGTGAGAGGCCCGCGTACTGCAAAAAAAAAAAAAAAAAAAAAATGAGGTGACCAGATGCAAATTGATAAATTATCCCATAGTATAATGTGATTCCAGTTATTTGTCTCAGAGGGGTCTCTATTTCCTTCTCCCACTTTTGGAAAATCCACAAATATCCCAAGTGGGAAAGAGGGTGCAGAGTGAAGACCCCACTGGACCAAAAGTCATTCCCCCAAGACCAGAGGATCCCATCCCCAAGGCAGACAACTCGGGGCTTCCCTCAGTCCACTGGGCACAAAGTCAAGTAGAAAAGAAAAATTGTTTGTGATCCCTTTTCCTAGCACTTATCTCACTTTATAACTACACATTCATTAGTGTGATTATGTGATTAATATCTGTTTCCATCACCAGACTTTCAGCCCAGCAGGGGTCCCTATACACTCTACTGTATGCCCAGCCCAAAGTGCCACTCAATAAATAATAGTGACAGCAAGACTGGTGGAGTTATGACCTGTGCCAGACAGTCTTCCAGGGGCTTTGCAGAGATTATTGCAGTGTTCACTCCTCACATGGACTCTAGGAGGTAAGCACTGCAATGAGCATGAGGAAACAGAGAGGGTAAGCAAGTTGTTCAAGCTATGAAAAGGGGGGCCAGGGTTTCATACCAGACAGTCCGGGTCCAGAGCCCACATTCTCAACCACAGCCGGACACTTCTTCTGCCCCTTGAATCAGAAGCGAATGCACATCCCCAGCTCTCCGCTCAGTATCCTTAGCATGATGCTGAGTTCCGTGCATAAAGAAATAAAGAGGGGCTTCCCTGGTGGCGCAGTGGTTGAACGTCCGCCTGCCGATGCAGGGGACACGGGTTCGTGCCCCGTTCCGGGAGGATCCCATATGCCGCGGAGCGGCTGGGGCCGTAAGCCATGGCCACTGAGCCTGCGCGTCTGGAACCTGTGCTCCTCAACGGGAGAGGTCACAGCAGTGAGAGGCCCGAGTACCAAAAAAAAAAAAAGAAATAAAGAGAATGTCCTGCCAGAGTGCCCCACTGAATCTGAGATGGGGTGCAGCCTCAGCTAATCAAGAAAGGGTTACCCCACACCTCTTGGATGACAGATGATCTCCTCGTGGAGGAAGCTGCTTCCAACCCTGGGACAAGTCATAATTACATTATAAATGTTACAAGACTTATGTAGTATAATATGTTGTATAAATATCATGTTTTATATATATAAGTATTATATTTACATAACAGGTTATATTGTATAAATATCATGTTACATATATATTATATTTATATAATAAGTTATATAAATATCATGTTACATATATACGTATTATATTATTTATATAATATGTTATATTGTATAAATATTATATTACATCAGTGTGATCCTATGAATGCTCTATTTATATAATATGACAGAATATTAATATATTTTATATAAAGATTATAATATATGTTATAATTATATATGATTATATAACATATGGTTGTATTTATAATTAAATAGAGAAACACTTATGTGAATATATTAATATATTATAATATCCATAATATCAATATAATAATCTGTTTATTATGATGTAATCATGTATTATATATAATATTGGTATAATATTATATAGAATTTTATATTAAAATATAGTATATTCTGTTAGAATTTTATATTATAATATAAATCTTCTACTTTACTAAATATATTAATTTTACAATATTACATTTAATTGAATTTATAGTAAATATTTAAAATTATATATATTTTATGTAATATATAATATATATAATTACACATATAATGTATAATTAAATATAGAAGCATTTAAGAGAACCACACTCACAATATTTGCATTCATAAGATGGCACATATTCCATATTTTAAATATTTTTAAATGTTTAAGAGACTTTGGCCTTTGAGATCAGCTTCAGCAATTCCTATCTAATTGAAGAATTCATTCGAGTTGTGATTTTTGAGGTGAAATACATACACTGGACTTCATGAGAGGAGGCTGGGCCCTTGGGCTGAAGGATTTCAACCCTTGACACCAGGTCTGCAAGGCCTGGTTACTGTTAGTTGTGGTTGAACAGCTTCTACCAATATTCTGTTCATAATGATACGTATATTCTCTAAGATGATGTACACTTCCTCTACAGCAAGTCCTGAGCCCTCCTAGGAATTTCCTTTCACTTCCATATTCCTACCAACAGTCTTGTCAAGGCGATCATGGCTGTTTCTAGCATGCACCTCAAAACACCTCCAGCTTCTACCCATTCCCTAATTCCAAAGCCACTTCTACATTTTTAGGTACTTGTTGCAGCAGAACCCCACTTCCAGGGACTAACAGGTGTATCAGCTTGCTAGGGCTGCCCTAACAGAGTACCACAGACTGGGGGACTTAAACAACAGAAATGCACAGTCTCACGGTTCTGGAGGCTGGAAGTCCAAGATCACAGTGTCTGCAGGGCTGGTTCCTTCTGGGGGCTGCAAGGGAGAATCTGTTCTAGGCAGCTCTCCTTGGCTGGTAGACGGTCATCTTCTCCCTGTGTCTCTTCACCTCATCTTCCCTCTGCATGTATCAGTGTCCTAATCTCTCCATATAAGGACACAAGTCCTATTGGATTAGGGCCCACCCTAATGACCTCATTTTCACTTGGTCACATCTGCAAAGACCCTATCTGCAAATGAAGTCAATTATGAGGTCCTGGTGGTTAGGACCCCAACAAATACTTTCAGGAGGGACCCCTTCAATCCATAACAGTGTTTGTGTTCCAAACTGTTGAGTTTTCTGTCACTCTCTATGGGTTCATTGACATGTGACTTTGGGGCTGACAAGTAGCATGTAGTGGGTTTCTGGAGAGCACAAGTGACCCCTTTTCTCTACCCTGGAGTGTACAAATCACATCACAACGGACTCCAAATCAAAGTTGTTAAATTTCCAAACCTTTAATCCCAAATCAGGCCACAGTGAGGTCAGACCCAGAGATTCTCTCCTCCCCCATTCCCCTGTTTCCCTGGAGGAAGTCTCTCCCACAAGCAAATACATCCAAATCTGTGGAACAAATAGATCCAACTCCCTCCCAAGACCCCCTGACCTCACCCCCCCCCACTCCCTAGTTACCCCATCAGGTCCCCACCAGCCTTCCCTGGGGATCCTCGTTTGCAAAAATCCTCTCCCCGTCCCACTCCTAAGCAACCCAAATTCAGCCCCCGAGAAAGACATATTTACAGAGAAAAAAGATGAGGGCGTGAGGGGCAGTTCTGTGCAAAGAGCATGGGCCCCCAGAGCAGGGAGAACACAGTTTCTCTAGGACACGGGGCAAAAGATTCTGAGGGGCACAATGGAGAAAGGCGAAGGGTTTGGGAGTTGCTTAGAGAAAGCACAATGATGACCCTAGGTGGCCCTGTGCCCCCACTTGGGACAGAGGGAGCCCCAGGGCCAGGGAGGCAGGGTGAGCAGGAAAAAGAAGCCACTCCCCAGGATCAGGACCAAGCCGGCCCCCACGCCACAGCCCAGAGACCAGGAGTATTCATAGGTCAGGGCCGGGGACGGGGGAGGCTCAGGGCTAACTCCCTGCAGCAAGGCTTGCACGGAATGGCGGAACACCTCCAGGCTGACCAGAAGCAGCAGGCCTGTGGGGAGAGGAGAACAGATGTGGCCCTCAGGCCCCTGGGGTCCCCAACGGAGGTCTGAGCCTCTCCCCCAATATACCCCATCACATGCTTACTCAGACAAGAAACCTGGGGGACCCCCTAGTGATAGGAACAGAGTAAAGGGACAAAGTAGGTGATTACATAGTTAATCCCACTAGGGGACTGTAAGTAAAGGAAAAAAAGCATGGGAGACCCCTGTAAGTTAATGATCGCTCAAGAAAGCAGGTTCGCTTAACCACAAAACCAAGCAGGCTCGCTTAGCAACACAACCATGCAACAGAAGCCTGAGACATGCCCCCAGACAATGAAACAATGGTGAAATAAGACCCACATCCTGCCCAGAGAGGCTTGATTCCTAAGGTAATGCTCCTCTGCGCACATTAAAAACAAAAATATAAGGAAAAGTTGACATTATGCTGAAAGTTGAGATGATTCATCATATTCTAGTATATGCTACCGCCTTTTTGCTCATTTCCATTGGGCCATGACAGTCCCAGTTTGACCACGTAGGGACAAGAAAACCCTCCCGCCTGACTTGGAGGCAGAGCTGATGATGGAAGCTTGACGTCTACTCAAGAATGAGGAAGGAGGTGGTCTTCTCCCCCTCCCCACCCTCCTTTGATTATAAAACTCTAGCCCACTAACTTCTCGGCGTGGCACCCTCTAGCTCACCCGCTTGTAAGGCGCACAAGCATCTTATTCTAATAAATCACTTCTTATCTATCACTTGGCCTCTCGCTGAATTCTTTCTGTGCTGAGACATAAAGAACCGGAGCTCCTCGGAGACCCCCGAGATGCATTTCTGCAGTTTCACCAGCACCTCCTCAACTACTGCTTATTAAGCACCTACTCTATAGCAGGCACGATTTTAGAACGCTGGAGAGAAAGAAAGAACAAGACACAAATTCAGAGAGACAGAAAGTAGAAGGTGGGTGCGGGGGTGGGGAAGAGGAATGGGGAGTTGGTGTTTCATGGGGGCGGAGTTTTAATTGGTGAAGATGCAAAAGTTCTGGCGATGGATGGTGGTGATGGCTGCGCAACTGCCTGAATGGACTTAACGCCACAGAAGTGGACACTTAAAAATGGTTCAAATGGTAAGTTTTATGTTAATGTGTCTTTCACCACTTAAGAAAAGAACAAAGCAAACCAAGGAATCAAGAATCACAAAAGTCAAATTAAGACTCCATTCAGACTTGAGTAAAGAGGGATGATGGAATCTAAGTTGAAACCATAGAAGCAGAGAGCAGAATGGTGGCTGCCGGGGACTGAGCGGAGGGGGAAAATGGGGAGACTGCTGCCAGTCTGAAGAGGAATAAATTCTGGAGATCTAAGGTACAGCATGGTGACTATAGTTAATAATACTGTGTCCATAAAATTTGCTAAGAGAGTAGATCTTAAATGTTCTCACTGCAAAAAACAAGCTACTATGTGAGGTGATGAATGTGTTAACTTGTTTGATTGTGTTGAGCACCTCAGGATGTATATCAAAATATATGAAAACATCAAGCTGTAGGGGACTTCCCTAGCGGTCTAGTGATTCGGACTCAGCACTTTCACTGCCATGGCCCAGGTTCAATCCCTGGTCAGGGAACTGAGATCCTGCAAGTTGTATACCTTATATACAATTGTGTATACATATATATATACATATATGTGTGTGCATATATATATACACACACACAATTTATACTTGTCAATCATATCCCAATAAAGTTGAAAAGAAAAGAGAGTGATGGTGGATTACAAAACGGAAAGAAAATCAGTCATGTAATGCAATTTGATTAAAGGAAAAGAAAGGAACAAGACAGACCAAAGAACCCTAACCTGACAGAACCTATGTTCTACTCGGAGGAGACAAATGGTACACAAATAAACCAAGGCTTGCAAAACTCAAATGTCTCCAATAGACAATGAGAAAGTCCAAACAAGTGAGCAGGCAGGTGCGGTGGGGACCATGACAAAGCATAGCCCAAACCCGGCTCCAGCCAACTGCAGCCCGTCAGAAACGGCGGCTTAGTAGACCAGGTCTTCTGAGTTTTCAAGAACAGCTAGCATTTTTTTAAACGATTATGATTTTTACGGGAATTCACCCAGTCTTTAAATATTGGCTCAGAGAAATCTTTAGACGCTGCCCGCCAAACAAAGGACATTTATGGGCCGTCGCTGGCCTGCGGGCGACCAGGTTGTAACTGCCAAAGTAAACATGTGAGAAGACGGGATAATTTCAGACAGTGATGCACGCTAGGAAGGAGATAAAAACAGAGTGGTGGGAAGGGCCGTGACATCCAGGGGTGGGGCTGGGGCTTTACATGGTGTCATCAGAAAAGCCATTGGAGCTGAGACCCAAATGGACAAAAAGAAGCCAGCCATGCACAAAACAGCAATGGCTATTCTGGGCAGAAGGAATGGCTGGTGCAAAGGCTTTGCGGTAGGGTGGAGTAGAGTGTGTTAGAGGGAAGAAAAGAAAAGTCAGTGCAGCGGAGCAAAGAGGATGGGGGAGGGGAGGGGGGTGGTGGGCAGCGGAAGTACAGAGGTGGGCGGAGTAAGATCACGTAGGACCCTCCAATGGTCATGCATGGCTCATGCATCCTGGCTGCCTCCCCTCTCAGACCCCAGAGTCTGACTTCAACCTTGATCTCTGAACTTCCTTCCTCCCTACACTCCCAGTTTCCCCATGGTTTTGTTTTTTAACTTTTTTCAAAAACTTAATTTATTTCATTTTATTTATTTTTTATTTTTGGCTGTGTTGGGTCTTCGTTGTTGCGTGCAGGCTTTCTCTAGTTGCAGTGAGCAGGGGCTATCTTCGTTGCAGTGCGCGGGCTTCTCATTGTGGTGGCTTCTCTTGTTGCGGAGCACGGGCTCTAGGCGTGCAGGCTTCAGTAGTTGTGGCACCCGGGCTTCAGTAGTTGTGGCTTGCAGGCTCAGTAGTTGTGGCTTGCAGGCTTAGTTGCTCTGAGGCATGTAGGATCTTCCCGGACCAGGGATTGAACCTGTGTCCCCTGCATTGGCAGGCGGATTCTTAACCACTGTGCCACCGGGGAAGCCCTCCCCCATGGTTTTAAGTCAGGGGCCTGGAGAATACAGCCTGGAGTCTGCGTAACATGGCTCAGTGGTCCCTTTGTGATCCTTTCTTGACCTCATGCAGGTCAGCATCAGAGCACTGGAGGTGGAAAAGCATCTGTACGAGGGAGCGACACCATCCAGTCCCCTTCATTCCACTGCTAATTCATGCATTCTCTCATTCAGTCAATAGATCTTAATTGAACTCTCATTATAAAATATATATAAAATACAAGAACAAAACTAGGGACTTCCCTGGAGGTCCAGTGGTTAAGACTCCGTGCTCCCAATGCAGGGGGCACGGGTTCGATCCCTGATCGGGGAACTAAGATCCTGCATGCCACACAGCACGGCCCAGAAAAAAAAAAAAAAAACCTAATGAAGGGGCTGTCCTCCTGGAAATTCACCCCAAAAGGGGAGATGGACAAAAATCAGGTAAATGTATTGATGTGGGTTGAACTGCATCCCCCCAAAAGTTCACACATTGGGGTCCTGATCCCCAGGGCCTTGGAATATGACTAGGGTCTTTAAAGAGGTAATTCACTTAAAATGAGGTCACTAGGGTGGGCCTTGATCCAGTATGTCTGGTGCCCTTATAAGAAGAGGAGATTAGGACACAGACAAGCATGGGGAAGGACCATGTGAGGACACTGGGAGAAGACAGCCATCTACATGCCAAGGAGATTTGCCTCAGAAGGAACCGAACCTGCTGACATGTTGATCTCGGACTTCCAGCCTCCAGAGCTGTGAGAAAATACATTTCTGGTGTGTAAGGCACCCAGTCTGTGGTACTTTGTTATGGCAGCCCTAGCAAACAAAGGCATACATAAATGCATAATTTCAGGTAGTGATCAATTCTACGAAGAAAAATAAGGCAAGGTAGGGACACAGCAGGGAAGGGGTCTACTTTAGACAAGGTGGCCAACAATGGTCTTTCTGAGGAGGTGACATATGATCAGCGGCTGAAATGGTCTGCAGAAATGAGACATGGGAAGAGCTGGCGGAAGAGCATTCCAGGCTGAGGGGACAGCAGTGCAGAATGCTCTGAGGAGGGAATGAACTTGGAGGGTCTGAGAACAGCAAAGAGGTTAATATGGACAGAACAGAGAGAACAAATGGTAAGAGGTGAAGTCTCACGTAGGAGCCAGACCACATAAGACCTCGCAGCCACGTTATTCTAGTGGTGGAAATTCATCCGTGGCTTTCGATCTAGGTAGGAACCACAATATGATTTATGGTTTTAAAATGTCACTAACTCCAGGGCTTCCCTGGTGGCGCAGTGGATGAGAGTCTGCCTGCCGGTGCAGGGGACACGGGTTCGTGCCCTGGTCCGGGAAGATCCCACATGCCGCGGAGCGGCTGGGCCCATGAGCCATGGCCGCTGAGCCTGCGCGTCTGGAGTCTGTGCTCCGCAACGGGAGAGGCCACAACAGTGAGAGGCCCGTGTACTGCAAAAAAAAAAAAGTCACTAACTCCAAAACAAGAGGCAGGTAGGATTTGACCATGGGCTGTAGTTTGTGGAGCTCTGGCTTTGACACACTAGCTTTGCAACAAGAATCTAACCAAATGCTCCCACATCTCACCTCTTCCACTAGACCTTATGAATGGGTATTATTATTATTATCCCCACTTTACAGATGGGAAAATTGAAGCCTAGAAAAGAGCCATGTGGGTTTGAGCCCAGACAGGTCTACTCCAAGACTCTTCTCTTAGGCACATCACTTTACCTTCTCCCTGATCGAACCTGACTTCCCTCGAATGACCTAGAAGGGCCCACGTGACCTGGCCCCTGCCTGTTTCTTCAGCCTCCTCTCAAGCTGCCCTTCCCATCCTACAGCAGTATGGAGTAGGACTTCTTTCAGGACTTTATTTTTGTTTTATTTTTTGGCTGTACCGCGTGGCATGCGGGATCTTAGTCACCCGGACCAGGGATTGAACCCGAGCCTCCTGCAGTGGAAGTGCGGCGGCCTAACCACTGGAGCGCCAGGGAAGTCCCATTCAGGACTTTAAATGCAGCAAATTTGTTCAAGCCTGGAGACCTTTGTGCTGCTTGGAATAACTGTCTGCTTACCCCTCCCTGAGCCCACCTTACACATCCTCATTCTCTACAGAATTCCTTACTTGAATTACACTTCTTCTGAGAAGGCTTCCCTGACCACCACCAGTCAAGTCTCTGTTGGGTCTCCCTGTTATACATTTTCATTAGACTCTTTACTTTTCATTTATAGCATTTACCACAATTGGTAATTGTTAACATATATTAATTTATATGAGCATTATTTATCTGCCTAATTTCTATCTCCTCCCTGGGCTGGAATTTGGGACTCCAACCCAGATCTTTTGATTCCCTGTTGATTTCTTGGTTTGTCTTTTAAACCAGTATCCTCCTTACTCTCCATGCTCCAGCCTCACTGGCATTCTTTCAGGACTCGAAATCCGCCGAACTCTTTCTAGCTTGGTTACCCATACTTTGATGTTTTAAGTGCCATCTCCTCAGAGAGCCTTTCTCTAATTCTGCTTTAAATGAAGTGCCCTCGTTATGCAGCCTCACAGAACTCTACTTTTCCTTCATAGCACTTCCTGCAGTTTGTAATTGTGGGATGATTTGTATCATTTCTCTGTCCTTAACCAGATGATAATCTCGTTAAGGGCAGACACCTTTCTAATGAATAAATGAAAGACAGGGAATGACTGAATTTCCCCCTTTGTTTAGGAAGCTCTCTAAGGCACAAAACAATAATAAGAATGTGATTCCTAATAATTTCTATTCGAGTGTGCTCTTGAACATTCATATCTCCCTGTCTCCTTTATTTTTGTTTTCGTTTTGTCCGCGCGGAGCTTGTAGGATCTTAGTTCCCCAGCCAGGGATTGAACCCACACCCTCTGCATTGAACTCATGCCCTCTGCAGTGAAAACGCAGAGTCCTAACCACTGGACCACCAGGGACCTCCCTTGACTCATCTTGCACCAAGCCTCTACTTCATTTGTTAACTAAGGTTACCATGTACATTTGCGCAAACTTTGCCCCGCTCTGTGCTCTGATCTTCATTCTGTTCATTCATCTTCTTTTAAACTTGCCAAGTCTCTTACAGACTACATATATGCTGTCCCATCACCACTATTACCATATCAAGGGCATCACCAACATTACCACCACAACAACAAACATCACCAACATGGCCACCACTACTGTCAACTCCATATTCTGACTGGATAATTTCTGTTCCTCCTTCGATTGTCAGCCTAAATATCACTTTCTCAGGAAGTTTCTCTGACAAGCCCCCCAACCCCAGTGTGTACCCCTTATATGCTTTATTGTGACTCTCATCACAATTATAGTTGGATTATTATATGTGTAATTGTTGGTTACTGTCTATCTCTGTCAGAATCTAGGCTCTATGAGGGCAGGCACAGTGTCTGTCTTATTAATCTTATATCTCCAGCCCTTAGCTCAGTGCCTGGAACACAGTAGGTGCTCGGTAGATACACGAAAGATAAATAAATGAAGCTTATATAGTTTATGACTTATCTATCCACCTTAGAAAACATTTGATCCAATGAGGGTTACATTTCACAAGATGCAGAACTTTTTTGGACCCCCAACTCCAAAAATGCAACAGTTCTTGCAGACTCCAGGTCCAAATTTAAAAGAGTGTTTGGAGAACCTTCAATTCCCAGCCAACAACAGTGCTTGGGCCATCCTCATATTTGAGCCTACTATAGGCCTTGTGCTTCCCAGCATGCAACAGTGCATGGGGACCTCCCTCAACGTCCCAGCTTGCAACAGTACTTGGGGACCCTAGATTCCAATCTAAAGAAGTCTTTGGAGACTCCCCAATTCCCAGTCAACAACAGAACTTAGAACTCTCCCATCTTTGAGACTTCTATAGCCTTTGAGCTTCCACCAATTCCCAGCACACAACAGTGTTTGGAGACCCAACCTCCCAGCCTACAACAGGGCTTGGAGACCTCCCTCGACCTCCCAGCATGCAACAGTGCTTGGAAACCCAACTTCCCAGCATGCAACAGTGCTTGGAGACCTGACCTCCCAACATGCAATGGTGTTTGGAGACCCAACCTCCCAGCATGCAATGTCCTCAGTCTGCAGGCTCTCAACCCTCACCTGAGAGGCCAAAGCAGATGGCTCCAACCCGGAGCAGGAACTCTGCACCTTTGCTGAGCACCATGATGATACAGAGGCACCCCAGGGCCATGACTGCCAGGCCTAGCACTGCTATCACCGCAGCTGCCATATTTACCTCTGTGAGGAGGGGAAGGGGAAGTAGAGAATACAGGATGTAGGGAGTAGAGAGAACTCCCAGAAGATCCAGGACTAGAGAAGAATTTTCAAGTAGAAGATCATCCAGTTCAATGTTTTACTTATACTGTTGAAGGAAGAACTAAGACTCAGAAAGGGTCAGTTCATTGCTTAAGGTCACAGAGCAAAGAAAGGACAGAGCCAGAATTAGAAGGAGATGGGAACTACCAAGTATTACTTATGATCTGGTCACCATTTGTTTACCGGTGAGGAAACTGAGGCAGTGGGGTGTGTGGGAGACAACAGAGAAGGTGGTACATTACAGCAGAATGATCCAAGTCAGAACTCTCCCCTGCTACTTCCTGGCTGGAAGATTCTGGTAGAGTCACTGAACCTCTCTGAACCTCAGTTTCCTCCTCTGGAAAATCAAGATCAAAATCTCTACTTGACTGCTGTGAGGATTAGAAATCACATATGTAATGTACCCAGTGCATCACCTGGCACATAGCACTTGTTCCATATGTGTGCCCTGTGATTATTTTGCTATCCTAGGGGAGCACAGCGACTTGCCCAAGCTCGCTTAGCACCAAGATAAGACAGAAAGGAGTGGAGAGGGTAAGTAGGTCCTCCATAAAGAGTCCTCCACTGTTTATGGAGGACCTACTATGTGCCAGGCACCATACTGCATATTTTAGCTGCATCATTTCATTAAATCCTTACAAAGACCAGATAAGGTTCATGACATACCACAGTTCTTTTACTAGTGGGGATATTGACATACTGACCGCAGTTCCTTTACTGGTGGGGATACTGACATACTGGGGTGATGGAGAGACTGTGGTTAGAGTAGAAAGGGTAAAGCCTTAAAAGTTTTATTGTCCAGAATGGTAGACACTAGCCATGGAGGGTCTTTTAATTTTAAATGGATTTAAATTGAACAAAATTTAAAACTCAGTGTCTTAGTTGCACCGGCCACATGTGGCCAGTGGCTACCATATCGGTCAGTGCAGATACAGAACATTCCCAATCTCATGGAATATTTTATTGGAGAGCACTACTTTACATTTGGAATTATTTGGGTTCGAATCCTGCCTCTGCCTCTGCCACTTCCTGGGGAAATAAATTAAACCATTTATGGACTTGTGTTTTCTCATCTGGAAGATTAAGATAAAGCCCCTGCCCTGCAGGGTCATGGCAAGGACTGGAACTCTTATAAATGAAACACCCAGCGCTGTGTTTAGCACGTGGGAGATGCACACTTATGAGATGTTAACGTACTATCCACAGAGAGGGGCTGGGACTTGCCCAAAGTAACACGGCATGTGGCAAAAGCAGAGCTGAGGCGGGAATGTTGGACACAGGGCTCTGGAGAACCACCTCTCTCCAAAGATGAGACCTCGCCAGGATTTAGGAGCTTGTGCCCATCCTGCGGCAAAGCAGAGAAGAGTACAATGCTATCAAGAACCCCCCTGGGATTAACGGATACAAACTACTATACATGAAATAGATAAGCAACAAGGACTTACTGTATAGCACAGGGAATTATAATACCTTTTAATAAACTATAAGGGAATATAATCTGAAAAAAATAACTGAATCACTTTGCTGTACACCTGAAACTAACACAATATTGGAAATAACTATACTTCAATTTACAAAAAAGAAAAAGAAAGAAAAGGAATCCTTTAGCGTGGTCAGCATATCCCCTCCACCGGGCAAAAAGTTCTTACCTTTCTTTGTGGTTCTCTGGAAGATGTGAGCATCCTCTCCCGTGGTGAAGAATTTAAAATAAGTGCAGTTTGCTTCTGTGGCAGCAGGAGAGAGAAAAAGAGAGGTAATGACATGGAGGCCCCTAGTGTAAGCTCAGGGCTGGACATTTAACATAGCTCACAATAACCTAGAAATATGAAATTAACATCCCTGATAGAGAGAACTCATGCTCAGAGAAGTGAAACCACCTGCTATCACAGGAGCTGCGATTCAAATCCAGAGCTTTGAGGTCCAGATCTGCGGCCTTGAGTGGGCTATTGACCTCTCTGAGCTTCCAATTCTTCCTGTATAAAGTGAGTTAACAGTCTGTTTCCTGGCTCTGTCATATGAGTTTGTGTAGGGTCCAGTGAGAATACAAATGAATGGGCTTCCCTGGTGGCGCAGTGGTTAAGAGTCTGCCTGCCGAGGCAGGGGATACTGGTTCGTGCCCCGGTGCGGGAGGATCCCACAGGCCACGGAGCAGCTGGGTCCGTGAGCCATGGCCGCTGAGCCTGCGCGTCCGGAACCTGTGCTCCGCGACGGGAGAGGCCACAGCAG